AAAAGCTGAAGCATCCCCTATTCGTTTTTTGTAGCATTTAGCGGCGATATGCTTTGCTAAGTTCATAACGATCCCATCACGTTAATTGTTCGCAACATATTTCATGCGCCAAGATGCAGCTTTTCATATAAATTTCAAATATTTCGCGATTTCCGAAAAATGCACCGATACACGGATTGCCTAAGTTGTCATATAAGTGTATATACTCGTGCGCGGCCGTGTGTGCGCATTAACAATATGTGCTTGCATGTAGTTTGATCAGCGGCATCTATTGAGAAAAATGATAATATAATACAAATTATCAATATACACAAGGATTAAAATCAATGGTTTTGACCTTTCTCGACTTATTCACTGTATACGGACGATGACAATTTTCGACATGCATTACTTTTATTGTTTGAATTGAAGAAATCTGCTGCCCTAGCCCATCAAACACTTCTAGAAGCTGTTCCTTCATATCTCCATTGTCGGTTTTGGTTTCAACGGTTTAAAAGACAAAGAGCGACCCGGAGGACCAAAAAAGTTCCAAGACAACGAATTGCATAAATTATTGGACGAGAATCCAGCTCAAATTCCTAAAGAATATGGCATTTCGAGCCGTTTCACCATCGCAGTTGCATGGCTTGCCAGGCAAAAAAAAAGAAGAGTTTTCTGTGGCGAATTGTGATTGGTATAGTAGACAAGGTATAGCGTATCACGAGCTGCTAAAACCGAATGACATTATTTCTGGAGATGTCTACCAACGACAATTGAACGAATTGAATGAGGGTAAGAAAAAAGATAAGTAATTGCGGTTAAAAGACGCAAAGTCATACTCTTGCAAGACCACGCTCGTCCACCTGTTGCCACAGTTATCAAGTTGCAGCTCGAATGGTAATCTCCGTCCCATCCAGCATACTCACCAGGCATAGCGCCTCATGATTACCTCTTGTTCCTTGTATTGGTGCAGCATGGCTTGACTGGCACACGGTTTTAAAATGTTGAAGAAGTGCGAAAATGGTTCAATGATTGGATCGTTGCCAAATGATTGGTTGATTTCTCAAAACGTGTTGTCCATCGCGTATTGACTCAAAATTCGGATATGAGAAAGCCATTTACTAGAAGAAGGATGTTTTACATCCACAATCAAATTAAAATAGCACCGTGAGGTTAGATCTGTCGAAAGTTCAGCAAAAAATTCGGGCTTTTATGCCGACTAATAACTGTGAATGACATGTACGTCTATTACTTTACACCTGAAATGAAATAGCAGTCAAAACATGGGCTGAAAACGAACCATTGATTACAAAGAAGTCGAAGAGAGTTTTGACAAGAAAATACTGGCCATTATCCGAGCTTATTACAGCATCTGCTGTCCCTTTACATACATATAAAGCAATTGTCAGAACACTAACTGAACTCTTATGTATTTAGCGAAAGCAAGATGTCCTGATGATATAATAGTAGAAGCCAGTACAGTTTCTATGTACCGGCATCGGACATTTTTGATATTTGTGTAGGCGATATATGACCAATAGATCTTCTTGCATAGTCTCTTTACAGCTTCACTTTTTTCTAGATACATAAAAGCATAAACAGTTATTTTACAAAAAAAAAAAAAACAAAAAACAAAAAGATGATGTGCAAACTTATAATCTACTTTTTAGTTTAGTGCAGAAATTAATTTGTGAGAAAATCTTATGAAATGTTTTCTTGAATAATAGAAAACGAGTGTTTAAGTAAGCGAAGAAATTGTTATTGTAGGAAAACGGTAGCTTAGTAGTAGTAGTAGTTATTATTGCATTAGAGCGCTATCTTGTAAGTCTGTTATGTAATCTCCAACACATTGCATTATCGCATTTTTATAATATTTTTATATATATTTCGTAAATGTGTCTGTTTGATTTGAGTTGGGAATTGTAGTGCTTTCCTGCCTACTGCGAGTGCAATTATAGGTGAAAGCGCATCCAGTTCGGTGACCATCATCAGAGAATGTACGATCCAAGTTTCAGCTTTCTCTTGCAAATTTTCACGAACTCAAGTATCCTGACAATGGACGAAGACATTCAGGCAAAGAAAAAACAATATAATTAAATGAATTGAAATGAACTCAAAATTTTGCAACCAAGAATTTTTTAAATAAATATATTTTTTAATTTCCAAACTATAAGTAAAGTCTCAAATTTCTTCTTCTTATTGTTATTATTATTATTATTTGATTATTAAGGAAAACTTACCTGTGAAAAGTAAATATATAGATGTGACGTAACAATAGATATAACGAAACTAATACGCATGAGGGGAGCATATTTCTGCTGTGCTTAAGTACATAAATGAAAATTTAATGCAAGAAAAACATTTAACCAAAGACTAACATCCCCTGAAGAGAACAATGTTTTACCATCCAACTCAACTCTTTAATACTTGTTTTATAAAATGTTGCTGCTTAACAGAACTGCAAACTCAATTGCTTATACAGTACTTTCCTTTTAACTACTAAACAACCAAACAAGATTTGCACAATCAATTCTTATATTCTTGAAAATCTTACAGAAGAAAAAAAAAACTGCAATGCAAAACCATTCCTAGCACCTTGTGGCCATATGCAGAAAACATAACATTTGTAGCCGTGCCAAATCAAAATGAAATCGTGTAAAAAGAAAATTGTATACATTACGCGTGATTAACAGCGAGCCAATACCAAACAAAAAAAAGAAAGAAAAGAAAATGCTCTTTAAGAACAAAAATGTCGCTCGATTAAGCAAGAAACAGTTTTGTAAAAAATATTTAAGTAAAGTCAAAAAAAATAAATAAATAATAATAATAAGAATAAGAAATTTAACGCCAAAATGCCTCTTGATTGTAAGGTCCTTTAACAGAGAATTTCAAGGAAGAAGCAAGTACTATGCGACGAAAAAGCGTAGTCCCCTTCTCTCTAAATCCATTAATGATGTAAAAATGTACTCAGTTATACAAGAAATTATTTAAAAATTATTATTAAAGATCTTTCACTTTCATACACTAATTGAAGTAATAAAGTATAGAGTACTGTGTATGCCTAAGTTAGCAAAGACTGCACATTAAAATTTTATAACAAAAGCATTATGTACATGCTAACGTTTTCGCATGAGCTCTTATGTTTCAATATTATTTTTCTTACTCTCTTTCCCGTTCTCCTTTTTTTCCTTGTTTCTTTTCACCATTAGCCGCTTCGCAAAGAAAATGTCGCCTGTTTGTAACAGCACGACGTATGAGCGATAATAACACTAACACATGTGCTGCTCTACATATGTAGTTTTACCAGTTCAACAATAATGAGTTTTTCTTTCTTTTTTCAACTTTTTAAACCCACAACCGCAGCGGGTTCGATAATATCTTCATATGTTTTGTGAAGCAAGAGACACGCTTTAAAGATTCGATAAATACTTGGTTATTATGGCCATCTGGTGCGATTCTAAATAACTGACTGACATTCACTTACTTATCCGATATTTCATTAGCGTTTTCCTTTTTTTTTTTTTTTTTTTTTTTTTTTTTTTTTTTTTTTTTGATCCAACGCCAAACACCACAAGTTGAAGATGTTATACACATATATAAGAAAAGATCAATCACTCAATCCATTATCTATTGCTGGACATTTCACGATTGCAGAATGGAAAGTTAAAACTTAACTAACGTGTTAATCAATTCAAAGAACAAGTTTGAATATAAATCCGATACGTTCCCTGGAAAGAGTTCCAGTCACCGAATAACTATAATTTGATATTCAAACTTCATCGGACATTGATCGCAAATATTTATGCAACGCGTTTAGCACTTCAAGATTTGAACGAACGTGTCAGATAAATACATAAATAATTGAGTGTCTTTTATGTCGTTTATTTTAAACAACTCCAACCAATTCGAACATTCTTTTCCGCCAAACTCTTCTTACGCTCCTTCCCTCTCTGCAAGTTGTTGTGAGAATACCAGATATTAGAGGCTATATAAAATATATAGATGAATATATGCATGCGTATATATAAAGAGTAATCCTAGATGTTTTAATTGTTTGCCGAAAATGCAAAATACCCGTAACACTTTACACATTCGCTTGAGTTATTTGGTACCTACGAATATTGTTAAACATCCAACCAAGATGGTTATAAGTTTCAGTCAAATAAAGCTTTCTTTCATTATACCTATTATTTTACTCAATTAGTATGTTGCGCAGTTCAATTGCAAAAAAATATTTAATTTTTTTATTTTGTTTGTTACAACTACATTCGATTAATGTACGTATGTTATATATGTAAAACATATCCATATAACACATGTAATGTAAAAAATACATATATAACTCGCCATGAATTTTCAACAAGTTCACTATGCTCTTGTTTAGCTGCAGACACCAACTTTAATAACTCGAATGCAGAAAATCGAACCACAAAAGCCAAAGATTCCCTTCTGTTTGAAAAAAAAAAACAAACGCTTCTCCTCCTTTGCGAGTTACCATTAAGTCTTAAAGAATTAGTTTCTTGCTATTAGTATAATTTATTTAGACCACAGATATAAATTCTAGGACTAAAAGAGTGGGGTAATCACTTGTGGTACAAGGACAAAATTTCGTTTTTGCGATTGTTTACAACAATCAGAAGGACTTGAGATAGATCCATCGTTTGTTATACCAACCGATGCAAAATTGCTTTGTGAGTCGATCTAAGTTTATTCCTCCGTCCGTTTGATTTTTTTCCATGTGCTCTTGGAAGCTTCTACGTACAAGATATAATTTTGAAGATATTTCGATGAAATTTGATACACGGACGTGTTTTAGCCTAAGGACGAACATTATAAAAAATGATTCGAATCAGATCACTTTTTCGGCAACTTCCCACATAAGGCTGTATTTTGACAAGTCATTATATGAATAACTGCATTAAGCAAAGTGATGTAGAGTACTTGTTATTTATTTATTTTTTAAGAATGTGCCTTAAAACGAACTAAAAAGGAAAACTTATTATACATTTTATTATAAATAAATTCTTACTGCGACAGAGCATATATCAAGATTGGAATGCAACAGGGTAGACTAGTATAGGCCCTGGCCAAGGATGACACATAAACTGATGAAGCATTTCATATTTCTCGGTGTGTTGGCTGATAAGCAAGCATCTTACATCTAATTACGGACAATAGCGTGAGAAGGTTGAACCTTTAAAGGAAAAGGATTGGAAGGAAAGTTAAAGAGAAAATTGTGGAAGCGAATCTCATTATCAGCACTGCTCTTCGGTTATCGTTTATCTAGTTCCTATATTCATCATCATTATTTCTCCAATCTTCAATTATGGACAAATTCTTATAATAAAGCATCTTCTTCGCGACTGGTTAAACTTTTCATTAATTAGAAGGATAGCATTCGGATTAAATAATCCTTTGCACATCCGGAAATCACATCAAGTTACTTTATTAAAACTGCTAAAACTCAAGTCTAAAATAGGGCCGATATTTTGTGTTACTAGTGCTCTGTTTTTTTTTTTTTTTTTTTTTCTTTTAATCCAAGAATTTGTGTCGTTAGTGTAAAAAATTATAATAATAGTAATAATAATAATAATTATATATATATATATTTATGTAAAACGGCTATAGCCCCCGCCTGTACATAAATGCAAAAGTTTTTATGTGAAACTCAGTGAACACAAATATTAACCAGCGCAAGCAAGTAAGAAGAACTAGTGCATTTAGATAAAAGCAGACCTAAAACAGTGAAGAGAAAAAGCGCAAGTAAAATTACAACGTTCGTTTGCTTATGACTAAAGACTAAAAAATCACAACACATCACATAAAGCGCTCTTTTTACCCGATAACAAATGAAATAAAGCTCGGCATATATATGCATATATATATATATATATAGTCATGGCTATATACATATGTGTGTGTGTGTGTGTGTGCGCGTGTGTTTGCATGCATGTACACGCGCATGCATACCTGTCTCTACATTTATTTTTTACACATACGTATTTTATATATATATTTAGGAAAAGTGACAACAACCACTTATGCTACAAGGAAACACTAAAAATCTTTATATTTCATAAATCCTTACCTTGATACCTACTTACCAGGTAGATACAATCCTCTAAATCCTATCTTTACGTAAAAAAAAAAAAAAAAAAAACCGTTAGGAGGTATAGCGTAACATAACCACTGAAATAGGCGAAATGACCTAAATTTCAAATTATTTATTTTCGCTTTCATTTAACCGAAAGAGATTTTAACAAGCTGCTGAAAATAAAAAAATTTATAAAAACATATATATGTATATATATATATATATATATATATATATATATAGATATTTTTGTTTTCTTTTTAAATAAACTCTTCGTTGAGATTTTAATGTAAACTTAAAGCGCACACGCCTCAGACGAATAAATTGAAATTATTTTGAAATAGTTGTATTTGTGCCAAGTGCTTATTTCATTATAAAATGCAAGTATGAGATTTAACTTGAATTTGCATCGATCGAATCATAGTTGCTCGGGGAAAGGGTATTGCGTTAGATATGTTACTCTTTGAAATATAAGAATTTGAATCGATTTCATTGCGTTCACATTTTCAACATATGCTAAAGTTAGTCGCATTTTTAAAAATATTTTTTACTTATGATGATTCTATCTCTTCTTTCCATGAGGCGCATGCAGTTTCATTAACTTATACTTTCATAAGGTTGTTAAAATGATATAGAGAATAGATAGTTCTATGTTGTTGTTATTTACACCGTTTCAAAGGCAAGCAAACATATCTTTTCATATATATTTAGAGTTTACGTTACCATAATAGCTTACAAAGCTATTGATAACTAAGTTCTTTAAATCGCTATCAAATAACTTAGAGAAAATTAGTGCTTCTACTACGATTTAAAAAAAAAAGGTGAGATGAGGGAGGAACAGAAAACAGTGTTAGTTATTTTATTAAATTCGACTATAAAATTATTTGTTTCAAACTATTAAGAGCGTCAAAGTAATTAGTATCAAATTTTCTTATATGAAAATCTACTTTCACTTACATGAAGTCTCCCTTTGTAAATCGGACTGTTTGTATATTTGTGCTTCTTCGCATAATTATCTATAAAAGTTAATGAAATTTGCAGTTGAATATGTTTATTTGATATTAATCCAAAGTTTTAACTTCAAATGTTGCAAAGAGAAAGATCACCTTTTTATAACCTATACCAAGGGTATATTAAGTTTGTATGGATGTATGCGAAACGCAAAAGGATCTTGAGATAGATCCATCTTTCATTGTACCGATCGATTCAGAGTCATTTTGTGAAAGCTTGTATGCCTGTCTGTCTGTCCGTTTTGGGTTCATGTGTTCATGGCCTATAGATTTCAATTTTAACACTTGATACATCAACTAATTTAGGCTTAACGACGAACGCTATTGACGGATTGTTGCGGACTGGAGCAGTTTTTCGAACACTTTCTATATAAAGCCATAATTTGAAAAGTCATTATATAAATAAATCTATTAAGCGAAGTGGTTTCGAGTATTTAATAGTGGGCCATGTCCCGCTATAGTGTTTTTTCTCTTGTTTTAATTATAGAAAATTTCAAATTTTTTTTTTGAATTAAAAATTCAGGAATTGAATGAAAGACTTGAAGCTTCCGCTGACTTTTCAAAGTCAGCTCATCTCTTATTATTTTTCGACCAAATGCATACGTCAATCAAATGTTAATTTGTTATAGTTTTTATAGTGAAGGAGAGAATCATTATATGAGTGTGAATTTAAATTTATGCAATATTTGACGTCTTACACATAAGCGAATAATAATTTTGGTGTACCTTAAACGGTGATGACAAGTGTAATAACCTTAAATACCTGCACTACGTTTTTATTTACATTTGCTGCTAAAGTGAATTTAATTAGTTGGCACATGTGAGCTGGGGATAATTGTTAGGCTTTAAGCAAACTAAGTAACTTTGGCCGTTAATGCAATCAATTTACAGCAGACCGACAAACAGACTGCATGCAGTTCACCTTTTTAGACAAAAAAAAGTAAAAATTTTTTTTTTTTTTTTCTTTTAATTAATTCCACTTGAATTCATTTTTTGTCTGAGCTCTCTGTAAGACTTTAAATGACTTCCAACTAAGAGGATTAACGACTTAAAAATGCTGCAAGTAGTAGCCAAAGGATGTCGATTTCGAGCTGGTGCTATTTAATGGAAACTATACTAATGTATATATATATATATATATATATATAGCTATAGATGGCTAAATTAAAATGGCAGAAAATGCATAGTTGCTTATCTAATCCTCAAAGTACAAGTGAATAGAAAATAAGTATTGGAAATGATTAATGGTTTAGAATTAATTTAAAGAATATTCAAACAAGCAAACAAGCAAATCAATAGGAGGAAGAAATTTGCTTCTAACAAATGCGTTTAAAATTGGTTTTAGCCTCCCTCACTATACACACACACACATACACGCACACGTACACAGAAATGTACCGGCCTCTCGTATTCATTAAGTACATGAAGATGTTTTAACATGGGCTCATTGGACATTATTGATCGATTCGCAAAGTTTTTCTAAGTGATAACCCATTTTACATAAATATATGTATGTATGTCTTTTCTTAAGTATCATATTTTACATCATTGCACGTTCCATTTGCTTTACTATTACGGCACTTTCCACAGTGCACACACACACACTCCGCGTTGACTTATTGTTTCAAAGACTATAGTTTCGGACCGACAAAAACGTATTTCTGTGAAAAATATACCGAAGTGTATTTCGAATAATTTTTAAACGCTTTTTCAAATACAAATATTCATTAAGCTCTGTCTCAGTAAAATGTTTGGAGTGCGTGACATTAAATATGTAAAAGTATCTCATATAAAACTATAAATGGCGTTTGTAGATTGACAATGCTTTTCTCTATGCTGTTTATACCCTACACTACTTGTGGTGCAAGGGTATATTAAGTTTATGCGGATGTATACGACACCCTAAAGAACTTGATATAGATCATCTTGTTTGTCCGTCTATCCATCCTTTTTTTTTTCTGTGTTCAGCCTACCAGTACCATTTTTTGTAATATTTTGATGAATTGTTGTACACTGTACTGGCGTGTTTTTTGATCCAAGAGCAAACGCTATTGAATATGGTTCGGATCGGACCATTGTTCCGTACGGTATTGCGTAAGAGGTCTTATTTTCAAAAGTTATTATATTTATAACCGCAAGTTGGTGCAGCGCATTTAATGTTTGACCATCTCTTACTACGAATTTCACTTGCTTGAAATAAAAAATATTGAAAATTCCCTGACAATGATTGATTGATTGAGGATATTAAGCCGTTATTATATGATATAAAACTCAGGTGAATAAAACTGACTTACATTATATAGACATAAATAAAATTTGTTATGATCCTTCGCGTGCTTTACATTAAAAAATTCAAATTAAACGTTGTCCACATTTTCGCACCTGACTTTAAAAGTTTTTTTGTTTTTGTTTTCATTTTATATACCCAGTACATGTTTGTTTGCTTGTTTCTCACAATTCCCGTAGTTCATCTTCTTAAATACACTAACAGTTTGCTGTCGGTGATAATTTAGTTTAAACTGCGGCATGGATAAATACCTTTTGCTTCAATAGTTGTTTCTGGTTCACTCCTTCTACAAATAACGATCTATAAAATATGTTGTTATAAGTCTTTACTTGGAAGTGTCGACAGCAAAACAGCTTCAAAATGGCTCGAAATCTAAAAAAGTCTCTAAATATTGGTGCGCTCGATACGTTTGTTCACATCAACGTTAGGCGACAAACAAGTACTGAATTTTAACACATTTCTTTGAAGTACTGAAGTACATTTTAGAGACCCCCGTTGAAACTTCCGAATGTATTGTAAACACAGTGCGTATCACACAGTTTTGGAAAACTTTTTTCAATATAAAAATCATCAAGACACATGGTTGAGATATCGCCAGTTTTTGCAATTCCTACAAAAGAAAATGTATTTTCACTTAACAGAAAAATGTATTTTCACTAAAAAAAAAAAAAAATGAAAAAAATGCATTATGTTCTGGATCAGCGCAAAATCGCGAAGTCAATTTATTCGTAATGATA